TGTTTATAATGTAATGGCCCGTGTATGTTTGGAAGACCTTAAAAGGAAATATGAATAGATTTAAAATGTGTTTATGTTTCGTAACGCAAGCATTGATTCTTGTTTTATTGGTAAATTAGTCAGTGTTTTAAATACATAAACAGTAATATTTTTTTACATTAATTAATTTTCTTGTTTGTGAATTCATTTTTTTTTAAAAAACATAAACATTAATTAATTTTTGTTTTAAATTCATTTATTTTTTTTGTTGTGTGAGATTTGGTTTTAAAAAAACATAAACATTAATTAATTTTTTTTAAAATTCATTTATTTTTTTTGTTGTGTGAAAATTTTGTTTTAAAAGAAAAAAAAATCAACAAAATTTTTTGCGAAACCTCGGATAAAAGAAAGGCAATATATATCTTTGAACAAGAGTCTCCTCATGGTTCCAACGGAGAGTATTGAAACATTATTTTTATCGATCTATCCATAAATATTTCCCCACATCCGCGAGATGGAGACTACCTCAAGGCTTGTTGATCTTGGAGACTTTTATCTCCAGGTTACGTTGATCAGAAAAAACAATGGCATGATCTTGGGCCCAAGACCCACCGATGAAAACCAACTACCTGACCCAGGAGTTCGTGGGAAGAGATGTTACAATTGCCAGGGCGAGGGGCACCTCCGTCACCAATGTTCCAGACCCCTAAGGGAGACCCGGGTACCGTTGTAAACAGTTTCCGACAACGCATGGCGGGGAGCAAACGACGGAAAAAACGAGCATATGGCGAGATAGGACCGGTGGCGACTTCAGTTCCTCAAGGACTCATAGCCAGCACGGGCAGACCTCTGCAGAATGTTCAAGACTGTGACGTGTCGATACCTCTCGCAAGAGGATCTGGAGTTTCAGTTGGGGGCGATGTATTGCAACGAGCGGTGGCCGCGTTGGCCACGCATGTACACCCGTCAGCGGAGTTGGCATTTGGAGAGCCCCGGTCGGGTACAGATAAATTTTGGGGGAATCCCATGTCAGCATAGGAAAGTATTCGTGGAAACTGAGGTAAGCAAATGAACTTCTCCTCATATATTTTTTGTGAAATATGTATTAGATATTTTCTTTTTTAGATATATTTTGAATGCATTTTTTGTTGTTATATATTATATATATTTTTATATTATAACACGTCAATCATATAATCACGTGGTGTTTTTTTATATATAATTTATATAACATAGAAAGAGGATATATATTATGAAATTTTTGGTAAATTTATTTCGAAAATGATTATTGTATGTTTTTATTAAATAAAAAAGAAGTTCTCGTCTTATAATTTTATCTATTTCGATATAACTTTAGAACGTCTTTGAGGTACGCAATTTCGGGTAGTATTTAAATTGAGTAAATAAAATTAAGGGTGAAAGAAAGGGGTTTTTATAGTAAGGTCCTTTATTTGGCACCAATCATCTTCCAACAAAATGACTTCACATGCTCCTATAATAAAATCATTACAGAAATCTTTCAAACTTAATAATCGTCTAGCATCATACAAATTGAGGACAAACGTGTTGTACATTACCATATAAATTAAAATATTATTACTTGTACTACAAAATAATTCACTTTCAAAATAATCAATGTATTTCTATATTTACATAATAAAATATTATTACACTGGAAAATAATTTATGATATCAATCTCTAAATAAAATGGAAGTCCAGGAAGAAAATTGAAAGAAAAACGCGAAGATAAAATAAATGATTCCACAAAAAAAGTTAATAAAATTTAAAAAATTTTTTTATGACGCGTAGAACCCTTAGACCCTCTACTTTTAAAAATGGTCCGGGTTCAGCCAAAATACGAGGGTTCAGGGTCTGGGTTCACATCTCTGCTTTTTTTTGAGCTAAATCTAAAATTACTTCTTTTTTTTAGCTAACATTATCTAAAATTAGCTTTTATTTTAGCTAACATTCTAAATTACCTTGTTTTTAGTGGTATAAAAAGAAATTTCAAAATTCTGAGGGGCTCTTCAAATCTTTCAGAGGGCTCGAGCCTCCCCCCACCCTCCCCGTGATGCTATTGCGTTTAAGTAGTTTGGATATGCAATGGAAAAGGACAAGAGAATGATTTTGGCATTAATTAAGATGAGTGTATAGAATTTAAAGTTTGAAAGTATTATATAAATGTAATTTATTTGTTGTTTAAATTTAATAAAAATCTTTTCTTCATATATTTATTTAAGAATGAACATCAATAGCATTATTAATACTACAGATGTCTAGAATGAAATTAAGGATACTCCTAACATTTCCGTTCATCATTCCTCTATAGCAAAATGTACTAAGATATAAAATAGTAACCAAAAAATGCAGAGGTGATCAAATTAGTTCTAGGAAAACAATTATTTATATCATGCTGTACAATATGACACAGTATGTTTAATTCTTAAGTAGTTTATTAATATATAAAAACGACCTAAAGGTGTTATGCAAAAAATTAATTTTTCATGGATAAAGGATATTAAAATACAATATTTTAAAGAATATTACAAAATAATGTTCCCTTTAACCATAGCCATTAATGAAATACAAAGCAAATCAAACTACTGGTAAAATCAGCTTCAATTTTAAATGTTAATAAATAAATAAAAAATATAATTTCAACTGATCTGCATTTTAGCCAACCATTGGCTAGCAATAAAAAAGATCTTAAATAGTATATTTAAGATTATTTGATAATGATTTTAAAATGGCATTTTTAGCTACTTCATTTCACCCCTATTTTAAAAATCGTTGGACTGAGGATGATAAAGAAAAAAAACGCTTTCGAGATTTAATAATTAACGAAGCCTTAATTATTTTTAGAAATAATATTGAAGTATGTGTTAACAAATTGGTCAAAATTGAAGATGATGATTACTTTTGTTTTTAAAGTAGCCCATATAATTCAAATAATGCAGCATATAATGTTGTATGAAAATCGCCGGGGTGGCCTAATGGGTTAGATGTATGCTTGGAAACAGAAGTACGAACAAGGACGCAGGTTCAATCCTGGTAGACGAACACTCCCCGTGTCAAAACCTTGTACAACCAATAACAGAACAAGAAATAATCACATGCCTCAAGCATATGAAAAACAACAAAGCGGTCCAGACGATATTCCAATAGAAAGCCTTACTAGGAGATGATGGAATACATCTCCTCACAAATCTGTACAATAAAATACTTGGAAATGAATAGGTTCCCCAAAAATGGAGGCAGAGCTATCTAGCTCCTATTTTCAAAAATAAAGGGGATCCACACAATTGTCAAAATTACAGGGGCATAAAACTAATGTCACACTGTCTAAAACTATACGAAAAAATAATAGAAAAAAGATTAAGAGACATAATCGAAATAGGAGACTCAGTTTGGCTTTATAAAAAATAATAGAAAAAAAAATTAAGAGACATAATCGAAATAGGAGAGATTCAGTTTGGCTTTATGCCTGGAAGATCAACAACTGATGCTATCCACGCAATTAGGCAAATGAGTTAAAAATACAGGGAAAAGAACAAAAAGCTACACATGGTCTTTCTCGATCTAGAAAAGGCCTTCGATAGAATCCCAAGAAAACTTATCTGGTGGGCGCTACGCCACAAAAAGGTTCCGGAAAAATATATAAGAATAATACAGGATATGTATATGGGCCATACAACAATGTTACGTAGCACAACAGGTACTTCAGCAGGCTTCACAATAGCCGAAGGAGTTCATCAAGGGTCGGCTCTCAGCCCACTTCTCTTCATTACAGTAATAGATGTATTAGCACAGTCTATACCTCAAACAGTCCCGTGGAATATGATATTTGTAGATGATATTGTGATACTTGCCGAATCTAAGGATGAAATGAAAGAAAGATTAGTGAGTTGGATAAATATCCTAGAAACGCACGGATTAAAAGTAAATAGAGAAAAGACGGAGTATATGGTGATAGGAGGAGATGAAACAGAGATTATTGATATAAATGAATGGCAGATATCGGCAATTGAAAGCTACAATTTGGGCTCCACTATACAAACAAACGGCACAATAGAAAAAGAGATAAAGAGTAAGATTAATCAAGGGTGGTTAAAGTGGAGACCTTTATCTGGAGTGCTATTTGACAAAAGAATCCCACACAAATTAAAGGGAAAAATTTACAGCTCCATAGTACAACCAACTATTCTATATAGTTCGGAAACATGGCCAACCAAAGAATCAGACGAGAGAAGTCTACAAACTATGGAGATAAGAATGCTGAGGATGATTGCTGTGGTAACAAGAAAGGATAAAGTGATACTAAGTAGTTTAAAGGTAGTTCCCATTAAGACTAAGTTAATGGTAAACAGACTTAGGTGGTATGGGCACACAATGAGAAGGCCTATGAACTACATAGGAAATAAAGTTGAGTTTGGAAGTGATGGACAAACGTAAAAGAGGAAGGCCAAAACTTCAATGGGGCCATAAAGTTAGAGCCAATATAAAGAAGTATAAATTAGATAAAAGAGATTGTATGAATAACATAAAGTGGAGAGAGATGTTGAAGGAGCTTACCACCAGAAAAGGTGAAAGCTAAAGAGAGAAAAAAAATAAAATAAAATAATGTTGTATGAAAGACGGCATATGTAATTTAGATATGTTAAATAATTATAAAATATAAAAGAATATTAAATTTAACATAATTTGCGCCAGTTGAACGATTATTTAGTTATGGCCAATAGACCAAATCGCCATAGGTTAAATGACAAATTGTTCAAAAAAATGAAAATATTAAAAAATAATGTGCATTTATGTAAAAGCATCTATATCCGAATTAAATTTTTTAAAAATTTCTGTTTCTCCATACATTTGTAATGCTCTAAGAATATCTTTGATTGATGAATGTTCAAAATATTATTTTTTTAAGAATCACATTTATTTATTCGCTTTGAATTCAGGTTTTTCAAAGGCTTAGTATATTCTTTGTGTCACAGACATAATATTAAAATAAATAAATATTATCTCCATTTTATAAATTTGTTTTAAAATTATGTAAAGTTACAAAAATATGCAAAATAATTTATTATATATATGTTTACAAATTATTAACGTTTAGTTTTAAGTGGTCGTTGGCTCCATCTTTCTATTGGTTCAGTGATTGCCAGATCTAAGTTTATATCATTATCATAAAAAAAATTTAAAAAGGGTAACAAAACTTTAGGGTATTTTATGAAATTATTTTTAGGTTCATAGTGAGTTTCGATTAACGATATCATTAATCTGGGAATCGCGCATGCAGTTCCATTTACCTTATTTTATCAAATAAATAGAAAAAAATATATTGAAAGTGAAGATATAATTTACACAATGTATATCGTTGATTGATTTATTATACTTCCATTTTTAGTGGAATTGAGTTAAGACTGAAATATTATCTTTCTTCTCCCCTTTTGCGCTTATATTTTAAATTATTATTTGTTTTTAAATTGACTTTTTACGTTTGAAATATTCAAAAAATTAGAGTTTTTGAAGAAAAAAAAATTTGTTTTATAACCTGAACTCAGACCCCCACTTGGTCATTATTTATTTATCAATATTAAATTTTATCATCCACTCCCCTTATAATATTTGCTCTCTCTCAATTCATTTTCGCTTTACCTAAATATTTATCTCTTTAATTTCTCCAGTTAATTATACTCCTCCCTATTTTCCGTACTACCTTCACTTCAATCGATATCCTAACCTCTTACTTTCTTCCTTTATCTTAACCAATATTTTCATTCAACGAAAAAAAGTTGACTGCTAGAAAAACAACTATAATTTTGTCAAAATTATATCCCTTTTTGACAAATTACTATTGGAGCTATAGATTTTTTAAACCAAAAATGCACTGAGCAAAATATGACATTGGCTAAAAAGGGGCATTGAAAAACTACAATACAAAATATATTGCGAGCGAGGGAGGTGGTGGTGGGGGGGGAGGGGGTGTTTCAGGGTTCAACATCCATCTAAAATCAAAATTTGTTTAAATTTTAATATCTTTTTTTAAAGCTATTTATAGTTTTAACCCTCGAGATAGAACCTAGAACAGTATTTTCTTACTCTGCTGAAATAAAATTAACTACATCTATATCCCCTTATCACCATATTGTATTTTTTTTAAAATAGGATAATAAAAATCGAAAAAATATTTCATAGTTTACATAAAATTTAAAAATGAAATTTTGTCAAAACAGTTTTAACTGAAGAGCATGGATTTTTTGGAATCGTTCTAAATTGCTGAATGGAGGTATAACCTTATAAGCAGAGATATATGTTACGGCACACAAAAAACATAGTTTATAAACTAACTAGCTAGGTGAAGATCATTATGGTTATTCTTTCTGAGATTTTAAAATTCCCGAAACTATTTTATGCAAATTGCATTATGGGTCTGGAATTATTTTTTTAGGAAGGAACCCTTTAAAAAATTTAAACATCTCGAACCTTAGCATAATTTACCCAATATGGCTAAAATTAATTTTTATCTTGGCCTGACCCGCTGGCTATGCAGATCCATATTATTTAGTTAACAAACTTTTTAGCTAATTTTTGTTATGTGAAGTATATTTCAGATTGAGAACTTTGTCTTTTTTTTAAATCCTTTGATTTTTCTTCCAAGTATATTATTTTCTGATTTTTTTAATTTTCTCCTGTTTCGGTTTATTAATTTAAATTTAATTTGATTTTTACCAGTTTTTTGCTTGTTTTTTTAACGTATTTTTAATTATTTTGAGTTCTTTAAGCCTGGTTTTTCTCTCATTTCTGTCTAATTTTGTATTTTTAAATATTCAATTAAAACATTATTTTAATCTGATTTTTCTCCGTTTTCGCTCACCTTAATAATTTTAATTTTTTAATTTATTTTTTAATATATTTATCTATTCAACTTGATATTTTTTTAATTTTCATCTAATTAATCTAGTTTGTATAAGGTTGGTATCCGATTTTCAAAATTTCAAAATTGAATGCTAATTAATTTATTAAAAACTAATTAATTTATTTTGGAGGAATTTGGGTTTTCCGGTATGATGGATGTTTATCTTCAGGATATAAAGATCTAGTATTATTGATAAGTGATTGTACTATATTTATGCTGGTATATTATTTTATTTAATCAAATATTTAATTCCAGGCTAACAATGAATTAAAAGTAAAATTAACAGCAATTGGTATGAAAATTAAATCTCAATATCGATAGTAATCATTAAGATTTACACTAAAGAATTTAAACTTAAAATCAGCCACCACCCGCCCGTAAAGTAATTAAATTATATTGTAGTTCTCGGGTATAGGCTTTTGTTTTGCCCAACTCTTTTGCTACTAGCCTATAGACGTTTAAACAATAGTTCTAGGACTGTTGTACGTACAAGTACGTGCGGCTTGCCCACAAACGTATTAAGGGCTCCTCATTTTTCTCCCAATTAAATATCCAGTTTGATGGATTTTTGAGGAAAACCTAGCGTAGCTCTGTTGCATCCACAATGAGAGGGCGAAAGGCTTTCATCATGTATCACGTAATTTTTATCTAGTTTTACATTTTTCCACCTATTTTTGAGTATCATGATTTTTTAAACCCTATATTCCCAATGAGTTTTTTTAAAAATTCTCTTAAATTTCTTTTTTGATCTGTATTCCCACCTAGATACATGCAGGCTACCCGAACAACTCAAACCTCGAGTTCGAAAATTCAATACTCTTTTTAGGCTCGGGCGGGCTGTAAGAGGTAGTTTGACCCGAGTTCCGAAAATTAAATATTCGAAATAACCTCAATAATCATTTTGTTTCATCGAAATGTCAATCAGAATCACATGTCATTCTTAATCTCACACATTTCACTTATTAATTTTTAATTTTCATGTGACTAATTAAAACTCTATTACTTATATAGATAAAAAATAGAATATATAGTATATTCTACATTTATCCAATATAAAATATATAATATTAATCTGAGGGCCGCGAAAAAATCACCTTGCAAGACTCTAGCACATCTTCCGATTTTCTTAAACTTTCGCTTATTTTTCCCACATCCATTTTTGAGTGTTTCATATATCTTTTTAAATTTTTCTTACTAACTAAGTTTATATATCAGCTGTAACATATATACTTCGTTAAATTTTTTTTATAAATAAAACTTCGATAACGTGACAATAAGGTAAATTATATTATTACTGTGTAACATAACTTTATATAAGTGATCACAATCATGATATAGAACATAGCTATTCCAGGTTTTAGCGTTTAACTCGCTTCTAACTTTTTGGTCCCATGAGAAGACCGGGTTACGTTACACTATATACAATATAATATTTAATAGTGAAATATATAGAATTTTTTTTTAACCGTGTGAACAAAACAATATGGTTTTGTTCCCGTTTTGTTTACGGAATCATCTACTATACAATTATCGTGAGAATCATCGTTTATATCGGGTATGTATTTAATATTAAGTCTTCGACTCTGAAAATCGGTGCAATTGGACGCGCTTGAAATTTCACCGAAAATCTTTCTAGCAGGCATCCAGGATTCGATGTCGAATTTATGGTAAGCGGGTAGGCCTAGCTCATGACCAGCCATCTCCAAAACTCTTGATATCATAAATTAAATAATTTGTTTTACTATTATAATGTATTGAAGGAATTAAAATCTAAAAAGTGAACCTTTTTTAAAGAATTAAAAGATGAAGGCAATTATTCTTAGTTCGCTGTATGAACTGATATTTTTTAAGGAACACTGTCAAACCTTGTTTTTTGTTTGAACGGACAGTGACATTCATCATAAAATGTATATTAATAATAATAATAATCATGAGTTGTAATTTTGTTTACATTCTCCCTATTCCATATGGTTCTTAATTTTTCCCAAAAATAACAAATATATATCCATAAGAGGTGTTAAATGCATAAATAAGAAAATGCCATCTTAGGAAAATGATTATTGGTTAGCGCCTTTTATTGTAAATACATGTGGAAAACCTAAAAATTAAAAAAATGATAGGTTTTTTTGCAATTTAATTTATGAGAGGTTTAGAATTATAAAATAATAGAAAACTTGTAAGGCACATATTGCTGGCGTTATTGATCTAAATATTTAGTAAGTGGCAAGTTACGATTCAATTATCGGTCAAATCACAATATTTTTAAAAATATTTGTGATGTTTTACATGTATTTAATTATGGATAAATAAAGCAAATATGAACATTTTTCAATTGTTATTACTAGCAAATTACTAAGTGGTCGATTTTGAGCTCGGCATTCGGTTCATTTTAGAATAATGTTTAACACGTAAATATACTCGTATAAAACAAGAATGAAAAGATTTTGATCAGTAACGTCAGCAATATGTGCCTTACAAGTTTTCTATTATTTTACGGTTCTAAACTTACTCATAAATTAATTATCAAAGAAACCTACATTTTTTTTTTAATTTTTAGGTTTTCCACACGTAGTATTTACATCAATATAAAAAAGTACCAATCAATCATCATTCTTGTTTCCTAAGATGGCCTCCAAAGTATCTTTAGCAGTGGACGTTCAATCCGACATAACAGATGCAATGCTCTCATAAAACGGGCTTTACAGTGGGCTGGCTTTCCTGCCACTTTAGAACCCCCAGGTCTCTTTACTAATGGGAGACGACCCGATGGAATTACACAAATTCCTTGGAAGAATGGCCGATTTCTAGCGTGGGACTTTTCTTGCGTTGACCCCCTTTCACATACCAACAACTTTTATAATACAGAGAAGATTTTAAAACGAAAAAATATGTGTATTCCTGATGAATATAAATTCGTACCAGTTGTATTGTCATTACCTTAACATCCTTAAAAGCTTGGCAGAGTTTTAAAAACTAATCAGAAGTTCCAAAAAAGGCGTTTAATTACGTCAACGCATATAAATTCAGATTATAAAATCTAATTTTATATGTTTAATGGGTTCATTCCTCTAGCAGCCAGAATAATCTAGATCTTTTTCCTCTTCCCTTAATTATTTAGATTTTTTCCTTCTTTCTCATATAATCATTTGTATTAATTATAATTATTAAATTATATTTTTTTAAATACCGTTATGTGCAACAAGAATTGCTTATTTTATTGTAAATTAGATATTTTTTAATTACAGTTATTTATTTTTATAATAATCATAATCAAATAATATTTTTTTTACAATATATTTTATTTTTAATTATAAAAATTAATAATAATTGTTATTTTAATCAACTTATTTATAATCTGTCTTAATATCCTTTAACTACATTATTTTTGATAATTTTTTTTTACAAATTTAAATACCATAAGATGATTCTAAATTATATTATCTATGCTTATCCATTTTAATTAATATATATAATATTTTTTTTCGAATTTTATGTTTCAATTTAATTTATTTGTAAAAATTTGAATCAAATAGCTGTTATTTGCATTCATATTTAAAGCCTGAATAAAAATAAAGTTAAATTAAGATAAGATCGTTTTTGTAATTATTTTTATTTTTTTGAAGAATTGATTTACAAAATTTTGATTAAATAAATAAAAGCGTTTAGCTCCATGTTCAACTGGCGCAGAGGATGGGAGGGTTGTATTATATTTAATAATAGGGAATTTATTAAAAATATATCATAATGGTCTCTATTTTCAAAAAACTTATTAGATCATCGTCACAAGAATCAGATTCTCATCAATTTTTTTTTATCTTTATCAGAATTCAATATGGCATGTGTAATCATTTAAAGACACCAATATTTTCCATTATATTTATCAAGATCTTGTTTTTCATGGTCGACCTCTAATTTATCCAGAGCTAATCCAATTTAAAACGGGTGAATGATTACTGATAGTATATATTCATCTTTATAAATGTGTTGGAATCATTGAAAATAAAAAACAAAATATAAATTACAAGCAATATTTCAACTCTGTGTAGCTTTTATCTGTGCCTTGTAGGATTGCATTAATAAACGGCTTACAAAATTATTTAATGCCAATTTTTAAGTTTTAATATTACAATGGTTATCGTAGAAGTGAGGTAGAGGAGACCAGGGCTTATCGGCGCAATTTTTATCAAAATCATCATAGGTCAGAAAATAATTGCTGTATTTGAATTTACATAATACTATAAGATAGCAAAGCATCTACCTAACCTTATATATTAATAAATTTTAAAATTATTTTATACTTATTTCTCAAGATTGATTCTAGTAAAAAGTGTTTTGCGCCAACAAGGCCAAACCCGGGGCTTGCAGATTCAATTATCTTATTAAATCTTCATAGGATATTTATATATTATTCCATTATTTTCATAAAAAATGTTTTATTGATAACAATATACCATTTACATAAAAAATCATTTATATAAAATGACAAAATATGGCAATATTTGAATTATAGAATGTGTAAAATTTTTAATAAATTTTTTTTTTCCTAATCCTATTGTATTAATATATAGAATTAATTTAAATATATAATAGTGGTCAATAAATACTTATTTTATATTATTATATAAATATATTAAATATCATATTTGTAAGCATATTAATTGATCGCACTAGCCCTAATTCTACTAACCCCTGTTAACTAAATTAATTATAACCTTTTAAAAATATATTTAAACATGATATATGATTATGAAACTTTCAGAAATGCAAAAAGAAGGTTTTAAATTTCATATAATGTCAATTTTATAATTTTTAAACTATTCATATTTTAATGCCATCTAATATTGTGGTGTAAAATTATTTCATTTTTATCTAAAAAACACATTTTATCATAAAAATTTTTAAATAGCTGAGGGGTATAAAATATTTTTAGCCTCAAATATACATATATATAATTAAATTTTCTAAACATGTCTGGTTTTTAAATAAAATCCGCTGAACCGAATAGCCATTCGCGCCGACTAGCCCTGGTCTCCCTTAATCCAAATACATTTTATCTTAACCTTCTAAAATGGAAAGAGCGTTAGCAAAGGTTACATAACCAATAAAATCATATATATTCTTTAATTAACACTAACCATATAATATTCACTTATCAACGATTTGTCATCGAAAATCTCAATTCGTAGCCATTCTCCTTCATAAGACTATCTAGACATTTCATTGAACTATAAAAATAGTTCCATCTCTTTATAACTTTTTAATTAAGAGATCTTTTCTTTTTTCCTTAAAAATAACTGCACAGCTGAAGACTGTATATCTATTTCACAATGGCTTATATTTAGAAAAAGAAATATTCAAAATGGTTTGAAAAGAGCATCGCTACTCGGGTCGCTATCAACACTTGTAAAATATACACTTACAAAGGGTAGACTTAGTCCCCTTAATTTTCTTTATTGGTGTAGTTTAATACTGGGGTTAGGGCAGAGTTAAATAATCTTCATCTGAAGAAATAAGTACTATTGATTGACATATTCTTTATAAAACAAATTAAAGTATTAGAAAATATGAATAAACATATTTGATTCAATATTAAATAAATTAAAAAATTTTAGTATATAAAATTCAATAACAAAAATGTAATAAATAAAAATGAAGAACATTGTCATTGGTCTAAATAAAAACCCATCTTAAATTGTTTATAAAATTTTAAAAAATCCCTTATTTATGTCACAGAAAAATTGCGGCATTTTGTGAAAAAGTGCAACACGCCATGAGGTGGAATGGAACTCGCAACTAAATACGATATCTAAATATTTTACACAGCCGCCTATAGCTGCCCTAACGAGCTCTTATGAGTTATTTTTTTTATCTATTTATTTCCAGATTTTTATTATAATTTCAACATTTTTAGATTACACCATACCAAAAAATACCCCAATTCAAGCCTTATTGTCACATTTGAAATATAAGATTTGAAGTGAAGTAAAATAAGAATGTTGTAAAAACAAAAATTTCGATTCAAATCAATATTCATTCCATTCAGTTTATAGATTCAAAACAATTTTTATTTCATGCGTTTTTATATTTTTATATATAATTTCATTTATAATTTAGCCTATGTGTCTACCGATTTATTTATTCTATATCTAGATATCTTAATTAAAATTTTTTAAATAGTGTTGAGAATTGTATGATCATTACTTTGGATGACATATTTACCACAACTTCTTAACATAAACCTCATGAGGTAATACATCAATTTATGTTGAATAAAATCTATCTTGTGAATATCTATTTGGTCATATTTCATACTAATTTATAGTTTATTTATTTTGCCATATTAATTTACCAAAACAAAATTAAAATCAGCAATACAATTATAATTAAAATTAATAAAATATGTCACATATTTAAATTCAATAAATTAACATGTAAGTAAATCAATCTTATCTAATCATCTTAAATAAATTTTAAATGGTGTTGAGAATTTGATGTTTTATTACTTTGGATGATATATCTACCATAACTTCTTGCCTCAGATAGTACAATATAAGCAGTAAAGTCAAATCTTTTATAAAAATCCATATTTCAAAAAATGCAAAATAGGTTGTTTATTTATTAAATAAAAGTAATTTTGCAATTTATTTATAAATTTCAATTGCAAAGAAAAGACAACATCTTAATCATCCATAAAATTCTTATTTTATAGT